AAAAAAAAAAAAAAAAAAGAACAATGAATCTTTATTTCCTATAATATTCCTTTTTTTTTTTTTAATATTTTGATTTTTTTCTATTTACTTTATTTTTAAAATAGTTTGCATTAAAAGATAAATTCGTTTTTCAAATTCGCGCCTATGGAGAAATAAAAGTTAGTATGTTAAAAAGAAAAACATAATAATAAGATAAAAATAAAATAATACTACTTAATTTTTTATAATTACACTTTTAAAATAGAGCATACAAAGATATGAACTTTTAATTTTTTAATTTTTTAATTTTTTAATTATTTCACATCTCTAAATTTTTTTGATTTATTTTATATATATCTATATATAATTTTTTCTTTCATATAATTTTTAAAAGGCAAAAAAACTTCTTTTAAATAGAAATATAGTTATGTATAATTATTAATATATGTATTATTAATCTATATTTTTTTTTTTTTTTCCTTGTAGAAATAACATAATTTTTATTTAATAAAAATTTAATGTAAACAACAGCAGAAAAAAAAAAAAAAAGAAAAACTTAACTATAAAGCTAAAAAAATATTGTGAAATTTTTCATTTTTATAATTTCACATTTATTACGATGTTTTATATAATTTAATAATTTAATATTTTTCATTTTAATCATTTGATTTTAGTTTTTTTTTTTTTTTTTTTATCCATTTTATTTTGGAAAAAACTAGTTTAATTATATATTTATAAAGATTTATATTTCATTTACATTAATACCTGCAACTTTTTTTTTTTTTTTTTATTCTATACATAAATATTAAGTATTTTTCTTTTTTACATTTCATTTCTTTTATTTTAAAATATTATTATATAGTTACAAGACTTCATATATATAATTTTTAATAATATTTATAAATTAATATCTACAAATAAATATTCATTTATATTTTATATTGACTAATGTCATAAATAAATATATATATATATATATTTTTTTTTTATTATAATAGTGAGATTTATTAATATTTTTACAATTTTAAATAATTCTGTTTTTAGAATTTAAATTTTTAAGAAACAATTTATGGAAATTTTATGTAGTGTGTATAAAAAAAAAAATTTTATATTTTATTGTTAAGTTGTATCATATATTCATTAAATATCACATAATAAATATACATATATTTATACTTTTATTTTGATTTTTATTAAATATAAATTATTTTTTTTTTTAATTATTAATAAAAGAAATAAGTCTTTATAAAATGTGTGCACAATATCCGTTGTACCAACTTATTTAAATATAAACATTTATATATCTATATATATATATACATATTTTAAGTATACATAAATTTTAATTTTTTTTTTTTTTTTTAATAAATTTTTTTTGATGAGATTGTAATTAATGTAATTTTAATCATAAATTTTTAATTTATATTAAAACTTAAAAAAATGAACTTATATATATGCACAAAACATTTAAATAATTTACATAATATATTTATTTGTATAGTAATTAGAAAACTAGATAAATCAATAATTTTGAAAAAAAATATCATATACTATTTTTAAAAAATTAAAATAAGAGATTTGTTACTATTAAAATGTATTAACCTTATTTACTTTTTTTTTTTTTTTCCTTTTTATTTATGAATAAAAAATAATATATAGATTTAGTATTTTTTAATTTATTATTATATCCTTTAATAAATTTTTAACAATTAAAAAAAAAAATTGAATGATATATTAATATTAACATTTTTATTTTTATTATATATATATATATATATATATATATATATATATATATATATATATATATATATATATATATTTTTATTGTAAATTAAATTAAAATTAGAAAGTTTATTAAATCTATAAGAAATAAAAAAAAGAAATTTTTTTTTTTTTTGATTTTGTTATAAATATTGTAACACATTTTTGTTTACCTATAATCTTTTCATTTTGTGAAATTTGTTAAAATAAAAAATGATAAACAACTATGTATCACATATATATATTATATATAACATTTTTAAAAATAATTTCCCTAAAATAGTTGTTAAAAATACATGCTTTTTTTTTTTTTTTTTATTAAATATTTCATGAATTTTATGAAGTAATTTTGCCTTTATTACTTTTGTATAATGCTAGTATTTTTGTTCGTAATAATGGTTGATTACTCGTAATTCCGTTTTATTCCGCATTATTTCGTTGTCTTCTTTTTATATTTTTTTTTTTTTTTATCACTTTCATTATAATATTATATTTAAAATTTTTTTATTTATTGTACGAAATACGAACTTATTTATTAAAAATTAATTTATCTTTTTTTAATAATATTTATTTTATTTTAAATTATAAAAATATATTTTGTATATAAATGCGGAAACATTAATTTATCTTCCTTTTTGAAAAATTTACTTAAAATGAATGTTAGAATTATTATTATGTGTATATGAATAAATTAGACAGGGAATATTTCTATATTATATATTGTTTTATTAAAATTTTTTTATAATTAATTTTAAATAATAATTTTCTAATATACCTAAAATTTTTATGTTTTGTTTTTTGTTTTTTGTCATTGTCTTTTTTTTTTTCTTTTTTTTAATATATATTGTGTTACAATTATATATATATTTATTTTCTTCTTTTTAATCCTATGGTTTAATAGACTATTATTTGTTAATCTATTCTTATTTCTTTATTTTATTTTCCTTTTTTTATAAAGTTATTATATTATTACTTATTTTTCCTTATATTTACTTAATTTTTTTTTATAGTTTTCAAATTATATACATTTATATATATATATATATTTTATTATATCTTTTTTTTTTCATTAATATTATGTATAAATATACTTGTTTTTATTCTATGATTTTTCTGTTTATGTAAACATTTTGTTTTTGTATTTTTTTTTTTTTTTTTTTTTTTTTACCCCTTTTTTTTTTTGTGTAAATCATATTTTTATACATTTTTCATTACTTTATAATATATACTTTTTCTTTTTTTTCTTTTTTTTTTTTTTTTTTTTTTTTTNNNNTTTTTTTTTTTTTTTTTTTTTTTTTTTTTTTTTTTTTATAATTATGGGTAATTGTATTTCTTTTATAAATTATTCAAAATTTAAATTAAAAAATAAGAAATCACTACCTTTAGATTTATATTCAAATAATGAATATGAAAACTCTCTCATTAGCTATTTATCCTTTAAAAAAGAGGAGAAAAAAAAAGAACTTAATAATATTACACATCAAAAAAAAAATTTTTTCATTGAAGATAATCTAAATGAAGAAGATAATGAAAAAATAAAAAAAGAAGATATAGAAAATAATGAAAACATTGAAGATAAGGAATATAGTGAATATAATGGAAACAAGAAAAATAATGATTATGACGAAAGTGATGAAGATGATGAGTATGTAACATATGAAAAAGATGGTAAATATGAATTAAAACAAATAAAAGAAAAAAAAAAAAAGAAAAAAAAAAAAAAAAAGGAAAAAGGAAAAAAAAAATGTAAAACGGAAAAAGAGAAGGAAAACATTGAAACTGATATGGACATTAATGATAAATTAAATTCTTATTATGAAAAAGATGAAAAGGAAAATAGCAATTCTAATAATTTATATAATGATGAGTCTAACGATTATTATAACTATAAATTAGATATATCTTCTGATGTAAATTCATTTTACACAAGTTCAATTAATGGAGATGTTATAATGAAAAAAAATAAACATGAAAATTTGCTTAATATCAAGTATAGCAGTATGATATTAAATGATATTAGAGATGTTGATATAATTGTTGTTTTTTTATTTAGTTTATTCCTTTATTTTAATGCTAATAACATTGTTGATATGCTTGATAGAAGTAAAAAGGATAGATATTTTTTAATAAATTCATTAAATATAAGTCATGATGTCATTAAATTTCCAACTTTTCCAAAAGAAATTGTTGACAGTTTTTTAAAAAATGATTTTACATTATTAAAAAAATATATCAAAAACAAATGTAACAAATTAAAAAAAAAATACAGAACTACCTATTTAAAAAAAAAAAATACTTATAAAGATGAAAAAAGTCAAAAAAAAATTTTTAAATATGAACTAAAAAAAAAAAAGGAAAAATGCTCATTTTCAAATATTGTTGAATCAATTGATAGAAATGAACGGTCTTATAGAGATATTACTGAAATAAAATGTGATAAAAATTTACCAGATTTAAAAATCAATTTTATAGTAATGGGAGCATATCGCTTTTATCAAAGAGATATGAAACCTTTTCAAGATAAAAACACTTTTTTTTATAAATCCCCTTCATATACTTGTGATGCAGAAATATCTGTTGCTTGTAAAAAAGGAAAGAAACTAGATTTTCCAAATCAAGATGATTTCACAATTATTCAAACAAATGAGTGGATATTAATTATGGTATTTGATGGTCATGGACCATCAGGACACGATATAAGTAATTTTGTTCATGTTGTACTTCCTTTGTTATTTTCCTACAATATTGACCAAATATTTGAAAACCCTGTTCGTACTATAAAAACATTATTTTATATGATTAACTGCTATTTAGTAAATTATTCATATTGTATAAATAATAATATAAATCCAATTAATATTAACTTTATTGATTATAATTTAAGTGGAACAACATGTACAATCATTTTATATAATTTTTTAACAAAAAAAATTTATTCTGCTCACACCGGGGATAGTAGAGCTGTTATGGGAAAACAAAGTCTTCAAACAAATAAATTTAGAGCTTACAATATAACAGAAGATCATAAACCATCCTTAAAATTAGAAAAAGATAGAATTGTGGCTTTTGGAGGAGAAGTAAAAAAATTGCAGGGTGATGTTTCATATAGAGTTTTTGTTAAAGATGAAATGTATCCAGGTTTAGCTATGAGTAGAGCTATTGGTGATATAACTTCATCTTTTATAGGGGTTACTTGCGAACCTACCATAAAAATTTTCGATAAATCTGATGAAGATAAATTTATTATTGTAGCTACTGATGGAATTTGGGAATTTATTAGCAGTGAAGAATGTGTGCAAATGGTTTCAAAAAAAAGAAAAAAAAAAGTACATGTTGCAATGGGTTTGTAAAATAAAAAGAAAAAAATTATTTTATTTATTTTTTCATATCAATAATTAAAAAATTTTTAAAACTTTTATTACATAATTAAAATAAAATAAATGTTTTCATTCTTGAAATAATGTATTTTTTAATTTTTTTTTTAATCTTTATTTTTAGAAGAAATAATAAAGGAGTCATGGAAAAGATGGGCAAAAATTGATACTGTTGATGATGTAAGAAAAAAATATATATATATTTATATATGTATATATTTAAGGAATGTTTATTTTTTTTGATTTAATATATATATATATATATAAAATAGAAAATTTTTCTTTTTTTTTCTTTTTTTGTAGATGACTTTGGTTATTTTATATTTTTAATTTTTTTATGAGGGTAATATTCAAGTTTTTTCTTTTTCATAATTTTTTTTAACTTGTATTTTTAATTTATCTTAGTTTTGTTTTAATTTTTTTCTTTTTAATAAAAAAAAAAAAAAAAAAAAATAGACAAAATAGATAAATAATTTAAAAAAAATTAAATGCACATTTTTAGGATTAAAGTTTACACATAAAATTGAAATATTAAAAAATTGTAAAAATAAATTCTTGAATTATTTATTTATAAAACATATATATATATATATAATCACAGAATAATTTTTTTTAGTTTATTTTGTTTTAAATATCTTGAAGTACATCTCTATGTTTTTTAATTATGTGATAATAATGTAATGCATCATGCTCTTGTAGATAATCTGTCACCTCAGATTCAGTTTTTGCAACAATCATCCTCCAATTAAGAAAATTTTTCTTCTTTACAGTACCAGACCAAATTAAACTACAATTGCATCCATGATTTATATTCATATTTAGCATATCATTTTCAAAGTTGTCCGCGTGATCAAAACTGTCATTAATTTTATTTTCATTTTCTTTTCCTTCTTCTTCTTCTTCATCTTCATTTTCACTCCATTTTATCCTTCTAAAAATTAATCTTTTGTATCTTTCAATGGATATATGTTTTCCTTCTACAATTATGAAATTATATAAAACTGTCATAAAACATACTCCTGTTAAATGTAGTTGCTGAGCATTTATATCAATTTTAAATATGTGTTTTTTGTTAGATAAGTTTGTTATATATATAACTAAAACTTCATTCTCTTCATTTGGGTTACATTTCCATTTGTTAATTTGCTTTTTACTTTTTTCTTGTGGATTTAATTTCCTTTGTTGATTTTGTTCATAATGTCTTAATTCTCTTTCTTTCATTTGTTCCCTTACTTCTAATTCTATCTTTGATGGATGTGCAACTGCACTATCTCCTAAAACTCTCATTAAATTAGATAGTTTCATCTTAGGTGGAGGTGGAGGAATTAAACCTATTCTTATTTTATCTTGTTTTTCTTTTTCCTTTTCTTGCCTCTTTCTTTTTCTTAATTTTTTTCTTTCTATGGGTGTTAAATACATATTTGGTGTAATAATTGAAGCTTTTTTATCATCATTTAAAGGTATAGGGTGTTCTATATAACTTGTAATTTTTTTCATATTTATCTTGTACAAATCATCTTTAATTATAATTTCATTACTTTCCAATAATAATATATTTAAGTTATTTAATAATCTATTAACTTTTACATATATATTATTACTGAACTCATTTTCATTAATAGTTTTTTTTTCTTCTTTGTTATTTTCATCTATATTATCATCATTAGTATATTTTCCATATTTCTTGCATTCAATAGTATTCAGTTTATTTTTCCAAATAGAAGTTTGCTCAATAATATAATCCTTTAAATTTTCTTTATTATCTATTTTTTTAAATAAGGCCATATCCCACTTTTCCATTATGTCATATCTTTCATCATCCTTCCATTCTTTTTTTTGATTTAGTTTTTTATTATTTATATCTATTAGGTTAGGATTGATAGTAGAACTTATATCTTTATTCAAAAAGTTTAAAGATAATTCTTGAAAAGATTGTACTTTTTTTTTCTCTTGAATAATTTTTTTTAAATCAAAACCTAATTGAAATTTATTATTGTAATTTTTGGAATATGTTTCTCGTTTAATTATAGAACCAGGTGTAATAAAATTAAATGCATTTTTTTTTTTTTTTTTTTGAACATTTTTTATTCTTGAATCATACCATTTAAAATCTTCATTAAAATTATCTTCACATTTATTTGAAGGTATATTTTTTTTTTTTAAAAGATTATTTTCTTCTAATTTGTTAATATTAACTTTTAAGGTAGAATATGTAACAGGTTTTACATTGATTACATTTCCTTCTTCATCTATTTCTCTTCCTTGCTCATCGAATTTTAATGGTTTTGGTAAAAAATCTACTTTTTTTATTTTTTGTTTTGTATCATCCTTAAATCTACTAGCTCTTTTCACTTTTTCTATAGCTAATTTTGCTGCTTCTGTTGCTTTTAAGATATTTAAATGAATACTGGATGACAATGAAGACAAATTAAAATTATTAGGAAATTGTGATGTTCTTGTTTGATTGATTAAATTTGAATTACATGCTAAATTTAAGTCTTCTAAGATATTAAGAGGTTTGTTTGAATCATTTTCATTATTAATATTTTTTTTTTCTGATTCTCCCCATCTTGATTTTCTCTTTTTTTGAATTGCTTCTTCCATTTTTAAAAAAAAGAAAAAAAAATAAAAAAAATTATTTGTTTACTTTCATAAAAAAAGAATAATCATATTCATTTTATTTAATAACCCTTTTATTTTATTATATGGAAAAGTCAAAATTTAAAAAAATTTTTATTTTCATAATCTCATTTTATTTTTAAAAATAACTAGCAAATTGTTTACATTATATATATATATATATATATAACGTTTAATTAAAATAAATAATTAATAAAATATTGAAAAATAATTCAGTTAATTTAAAATAGGAAATATCCTCATTATATTAGCACACTTTATTTAATGAGGCCATTTTTTTTTTTTTTTTTTTTTTTGTAAAAACAAAGATAAATATGCAATATGGTAAGAAGAGTTATCATATAAAAGAATTGACTATAATTATCCTAATTATGTATTTTAACTATTTTTGAAAGAAATTTTTCTTGATTTCAATATTTTATTTTTAAATTTTAATTATAATAAAAATATAATAAAATAATAAACATAAATGTCAATGTGTTTAAAAAAGTTTATGTTATAAATTGTACCTAAAAAATTTATAAATATTTCTAAATTGTAATAATATTCTATGCCGAAGTATATTTCCTACTTAATTTTTATTTAAAATTTAAAATCTTTATAAATAACGAAGATTCTTATTGTTTTATTATGTTAACAAAATTTTTTAAAAAAGTTTTTAGTTAAATTTATTATTATTTGTTTTCTCTTTTTTTGTATTTTTCTTTTTCTTTTTTTTTTTTTTTTTTTTTTTTTTTTTTTTTGTATTACTACATGTTTTAATATTATAATTATTTTTATCGTATATTTATTATTAATTTATTACATTCAAGTAATTTCACTTATGCTAATAGCTATTGCTATTTTACTATTTTTATTATTCTATTAATGATTTGGTGTATTGGATTATATTTTAATATTGTATTAGTTTTTTTTTTTTTGCAATCATTTTACATTTACACAGTGTTTATAATTTATAATTATTATTCTTTTTATATTTTTATTTTTTTGTATTTTTGTATTTTTGTATTTTATTATATTTAATTTTTTTTTTTTTTTTTTTTTTTTTTTTTTTTTTGTATAACTTGGAACACTGAATTTCAAAATAACAAATTTCAGTTATATAGATTTAACAATGAAAATTGAAAAACAAAAACTTACATGATTTTTCATCTTCACTTTTTTAAAATTAACAAATTTGTAATTAAATTTTTTCTAAATTTATTCTGTCATACTAATTGTTTATTTAAAAATTTTTTTTAATAATATTACGTCGTTTAACACTTTTTTTACCTTATTATTTTATTGTCTTTTATAAAGTGTTATTCTTATATATATATGTATATATATATATGTGTATTTTTTTTTTTTGTTCTTTTATTTATTCTGTCAAAAAACTGAAAATTTAATTTTTCCTTTTTATATATGAAAACAACTATAAAAGATTAACTATATTAGTAAAAACTATATATGTTTTTTGTAATAAAAAAAAAATAAAAGTTACACTTGTTTATTTAATTTTTTTTAATGGCACTGTTCTGCTGAATTTTTTTAAAGTATATTATAATTTTTTTTTTTTTTGATATTACATATATATATAATAAGATATATATATGCTTATATAAAATTAATTATACACTAATACATTTTCCAATTTTTTTTTTTTTTTTTTTTTTTTTTTTTTTTTTTTTTTTTTTTTTTTTTTTTTTTTTTAATAATAACTGAAATATTTATATATATAAAAGGAAAAAATGATATCACGTATGTCTGTTAGAACTCACACACAAAATGAAGCACTAACAAAACAAGATTCTGTAAATATGTTAAAAAATATAATTAAATTGGGAATAAGTTTAGTAACTTACTTAAGGAATTTATTTGAAGAAAATGCATATGAAGAAGTATGTATTCAAGAATTAAAATTAAAAAGACTATTACCAATAAACCCACAAGCTAATATGATAATAAATTGGTTAGAAAAAGGAGTTTTTGATGCTATAGAAAAGGAATATTTGAGAATATTAATTTTAGATATAAATGATATATATGACAACACTATTGAATGTTACAAGTTTAGTTTTTCTTATAATACAATACGAGGAGGAGAAATTGGTATCTCTTTAGAGACATCCAGCAATAATAATAATAATAGCAATAATGATTTTGAAGAAAAAAAGAATAATTCTAATATAAATAGATTAAAAAACATAAAAGAAAGATTATTGAATAAAAAAAAAACTGAAACATCTTTATATTTAAAAAAAGATGCAAAAGAAAAAACATATGAATTACTAAGATCATTAGTTTTACTAACTCAAACGCTAAACCCTTTACCTGAAAAAACATATTTATCAATGAAATTATTATATTATGATGAAATTGTACCAACTAACTATCAGCCTCCTTATTTTAGGAATCCAGATAGTAAAGATTTATTAAAATTCATTAACATACCTAATGAAGATTATGTTGGAAAAATTGATACAGGTCATCATTTTTTATCAATTATTGTTAATACAACTTGTAACAGTTTAAGGTATAATGATTCCTATTCCTATAATATTAAAAGCAGTTATAATAAACAGAAATGGAATGAATCACACATAGAAATTTTAGATGATGATAATGAGGAAGAAAGAAATGAATGTAATCACTTAAATGAAGAAATATTACATCAGAATAAGAATTTTTTACATGGTCTTAAAAATTATATTATTATAGATGATGATAATGGTTCTCATGATAATGATAGAAAGAGCGAAATGGATTATAAAATTGTTAATAAAGATAATAAAAGTAACTTATCTTATTTATCGTTTTCTAATGAGAAAACTACACCATTATCGAAAGTTATCAATAATTATGATTCTATAAATAACATTAAATTCAATCAAAATAAAAATGACAAATGCTGCGTTAAATTAGAAAAAATATTATCGGAAAAAAATAAGAATAATAATGAAAGATTTTATTTAAAAGTGGAAAATGCTTCTTTAGAAAAAGAAGACATAAACAATCTTAATAATGAAAAATATATAATTATAGATAAAAATATATCAGGGAATGATAATATTAATTTAAATAACATGAATTTAGATAAACTTATATCAAGAAAATATAATAGTTACTATAAGCAAAATATTTCATTGAATTCTAAAAATAATGTAATTAAAGAATTAAATAACTCAAATTTAGCTGAAAGTAATGAGAAAAACACTTTTATTCCCATATGCCCAAGTAATTTAGAAAACCCCATTTCATATATAGAACAGGTTAATATAAAAAATAATAATAGCTCTGTTAATTCACATAAGGAAAATGTATTAATAAAGGTTGATAAAGATAGCAAAAAAGAAAATACAAGTTCAATAAAAAAGGATTCTATCGATAAATCTCTTTCAGTAAAATACAAAAGGAAACTACTTCAAAAGATAAGAGTATATATTACAAGATATAAAATTTTAAGTAAATCAAAAATTAGATTAAAATTTCCAAATGCATCAAATTATGATATAGATAAAGTCTTACATAAATTAGTAGATGATCAAATTATTCAAAGAAATGGTTATAAATTCTATAAATTTGTTGATAGGAAGAGTGAGGAAAAAGAAAGTATTGAAAATAAAACTTCCCAGAAAAAAAATAGTGGGAAAATTCCTGTATCATCATCAAAAAAAAAACTTACTCCAGATCATTTAGATGAAATTGTTAATAGTGAAGAATCAAAAAAAGAAAGTAGTAAAAAAAGTGATAATGAATCTAAAAAAAGAGAAAATAATAAAAATGGTATAAATGTAGAACATAATAGTAGTAATATAAATAGCATAAATAATGATATACAAAAATTATATGATGATGTATATAATTTGTGCTTAAAGACAAAATATGTTAACAAAGATATAATCACTAAAGGATTGGGTATACACTCATTATTATCAAAACCATTGTTAGATAGATTAATAAAAGAAGGGGTATTGAAAAAAAAATTTATAAAAAATAAAGGATATGAAAGTAAAATATATGTACGCATAGAAAACAATTTTAATAAAAGAAAACATACTCAAATAAACAAATCTAATACACCTGAAAAAAATTCTCCAATTAAAAAAAGAACAATTAATAATAAAAAAAAAAAATAAATATTAAAATGTTTATTTTTTTTTTTTTTTTTTTTTTGAATATTTATTAATTAAAATAATAAATTGTATTTACTTTTTAAACACTAAATTGGAATTATATATACATATATATATATTTTATTAATAAAGACCAAAAAATTTTTTATATAATAGAATTTTTTTATTTTTTATAATATTTGTTTTTAGTTATATAAAAAAGTTTCATTATACTTTTAATAAAAATTATAAGAAAAATGTAAAAAATATAATATATATATTTTTAAATAATAAAAGATGATATATAAAAAGTTATTGAAATATTACAAGAAAAAATAAATATAATAAAAATAAAAATTAGAAATGTCTAATAATAAAAAAAAAAAAAAAAAAACTATAAAAAAGAGAATTGTAAAAATGACAATAATTGCAAAAATTAAAAATTTTTTTAGTATTTATAAAGAACAACAATTTTTTAATAATTATAAAAAAAATTAATATATTAGTCTGGTTTCAACATAAATTTATTTCAATGAAACACAAAATTTATATATATATATATATATATATATATATGAATAGTTTTCATCCCTAAATTTTAAAAATAAATATAAATACAAAAAAAAAAAAAAAAAAAAAAAAAAATTTAATATTATATATATTAAAAATAAAATAAACATTTTAAAATAAAAGAAATTTATGTAATACGTATTATACACAAAAAAAAAAATTTTGGTAAAACGTATTAATTCATTTCTAAAATCTTCCTCTTTGATTAGAAAATTTACGACTACTATTTGATCTGTTCTTAAAATTATTTCTGTTATTTCTATCATTTCTATTATTTCTATCATTTCTATTATTTCTATCATTTCTATTATTTCTATTATTTCTATCATTTCTATTATTTCTTTCATTGTTATTTCCTCCTCGATAGGAGAAATTTTGAGATTTGTTAATATTAGTATTAAAAGTATTCTTCTTTTTATCTCTGTTTGATTTTTTTTTTTTTTTGGGTGTATTTTCTACTTTTTTACATTGTGGTAAAAATCTACTTAAGGGTAATGTTTGAGAAGAATCAATAAAAAATTTGGTGTCAGATGAAAAAGATTTTGCTCTTATTCCTTCTTTTAATTTAACTGAAAAATAAAATTCATTAATTGGTCCCAAAATTTCATCTACTTTTCCTATTTCTTCTTTATTTTCCAAAAATATTCTACCGTTAAAATAAGGAACTAAATTTTCTAATTTATTTTTAATTACTAAATCATTTTCACAATATTTATAAAAGGTCCCACCCAATATTATTTTATCTAATTTCACTTCATTTTCGTTATTTCTATTGTAATTTTGTTTCCTGTTTTTTCTAAAAAATCCCATTTTTGTCTTTTTTTTTCAGTCTATCAAAAAAAAAAAAAAAAAATATAAAATAAAAATTATAATTATTTGGATTACTTAAATTATCTTAATTGACTAAAAAAATATATCCTGTTCATTTAAATTATATCATAATAACATGCTTCTTATAAATAAATTTTATAAGTTGATAAGAAAAAAATCAAAGAGTATTACTACCAACTAAATTATATATATATATATATATATATATATATATATATATATATATATAAATGAATTTTTTAAAAATGTTATTTTTTTATACTTGTTTTATGTTTTATCTTCTTAAATATCAAATTATACAAACAAAAAATATATTTTAGAATATATATCCACTTTTTATTTTTTCTTATAAAATTCAAAGAAATTAAAAGATGAATTATATAAAAAAGGTTAAAAAATTAAGTATATTATTCAATATATAAATTCTCTTTATGAAATGTAAATCTAAGTAATTTAAAACTTTCAATTTTTATACATAACTAATTCTTTTTGATATTTAATAACCAATTTTTTTTGTTAATACATATTAATACAATGCCTAATTTTCTTCATTCGTAATAATAATATACACAAATTTAAGTACTACAAAATTTTTATGTTTATTTTTTAAGAATTATTTATTTTCATTATACTTTAAAAAAAAAACGTTTATATACTTCTAACAAGCTTTTGCAAAAATTTATATAAGAGGAATATTCAATTATTCATAAGAAATATAATAATACTTCTTTTTTTTATTAATACAATTTGAAAAAATAAATTACATAAATAATTTTACATATATTTTTTTCAAATTATTGCATCCATATATTATAAAAAAAAAATAAAAATTTTATAAAAAAAAAAAAAAAAAATTAATATTGAAAAAATGAACTTTAAAAAAATATGAAAATAGATTTTAAAAAAAAAAAAAAAAATAGATAAAAATTAAATTGATAAAGGGAAAAAAAAAAAAAAAAAAATTAATATAAAGAGAAAAAGAAAATAAATGTAATTAAGAAATAAATACAAATATAAAAATGCAATAAATGAAGAAATTTAAAAAGATTAAATAAATATAAAAAATGTGATATATCAAGATATATATTAATAAAAAATGAGATTAATAATACAAAGAATAAATGAGAAAAAAAATTTTTTATTTCAAAATAATATAATACGATTATATAGAGAAGCTTTGCCTAAAGTTTTTAACAAAAAGAGTAATCACTCAAGTAAGTGGATACAAAGACAAATAACAGATAGATACGTATTAAAAGCTAAAAATGAAAATTATAGAAGTAGGGCTGCATATAAATTAATTGAATTAGATAATAAATATCTTTTTTTAAAAAAAAATAAAGTAATATTAGATATAGGTTGTTATCCTGGTAGTTGGTGTCAGGTTATTTTAGAGAGAACCAAAAATTATTCTAATGAAATTATTGCAATTGATAAAAAAATAATGGACCCCTTACCAAATGTACATTTCATTAAAGGAGAAATAGGAAAAGATAATATTGATAATAAATTAAAAGAATTACTAAAAGACAAAAAAGCTGATATTATATTAAGTGATGCAGCTGTTGCATGTATTGGTAATAAAATTGATGATCATTTAAATTCATGTGAATTAACATTATCAATAACTAATTTTATGGAAAAATTTATTAATATTGGTGGTACTTATATTGTTAAAATGTATCTAGGTAGTCAAACAAATAATCTAAAAACATATTTAAAAACTATTTTTCAATTTGTTAATACAGCTAAACCAAAAGCTTCAAGAAGTGAATCAAGAGAAATATACCTAGTTTGTAGGAATTTTCAAGGGAGAAAAAAAATTAGTGAAGACATACAAATTAAAGGAGCATTTTCCTTAAAAGAAGGTTATTATTAAATAAATATTAATTGATGAAAAAACAAAAATATAATTATATTATTTTTTTTTTTTTTTTATGTCTTATAAAAAAATAAAATATATATTCTTATTTTCTTCTTCTTTTTCTTTTTTTTTTTTCTTTTTTTTTTCCTTTTTTTTTTTTTTGTTTAAAGAACGAAAACAAAAACTACATTTTTAATCTTTTAAAAAAAAAAAGTTTTATGTAAATATATTTCAAAATAATTCTTTAAAAATATTTTAAATAGTTTTTGAAAAAAAAAAAAAAATTCAAAATTGTTTCATTATTCATATTCTGTTAATGTTTTTAGTAATTATGAAAATATGATTTAACTTCTTATTCAAAGGTATTTTTATATTTTTGATTATTTGAATAACTTTTATAATTTAAATTAATAAATATTAGGATATTTTTAATAAATTTATTATAAAAAATATGAAAATTTTAATAAATATGTGAAAATATATATAAATAAATTGATTTAAATAGTAAATATGTATATTTAAAAAGTTATAAAAAATACATAAAAATTAAATACACTACATAAATGTTTACATACTGTTATTTATAACCTTACTATTTAATTTCTTTTATTTTTGTTTAGTTCTTTTCTTATTTAATTTCATAAAAAAAATAAAAAGAAAAAAGAACATATTTTTTAAGTATATTTAAAAGAAATTTCAATTTTAAATATAATTCCTATAAACATATATTATTTTTATGAAAACATATTTAATTTCCATAAAATGAAGAAAATAATAAAAAATAAATGAAATAGCTTTTTTTTTTTTTTTTCAGTAATATCAAATTTGAAAAAAAAAAAAAAAAAAAAAAAAAAAAAAAAAAAAGGAAAGATAATTGATGAGAAAATGAATAAATCAGACAAAAAGTTTATTTTAAAACTATTTAAAATTAAAAATGGAAATATAAATTTATTAAAAAACAGAATAACTCATTTTAGTATTAATAATAAATGTATACACATAGTATTATGTAACAACACACTCATAAAGTATTATGTGGAAGAAAATGAATTATCTTATATTGACTTTTATAATAAAAAAACAACAAATAATAAAGCTGAAATAAGATCAATATATTTTGATAATAATTGTTATCATGGTTTTATTTGCTTAGCTAATAAAGAGTATATATATGTTCATTTTGAAAATAATATCATAAAAAATTTATTAAAATTAAAAAAATATAATATCAAATGTTTATGTTTTAATAATTATAGTGAAATAAAAAATACTTATCCTTTTGTTATAGGTACAAAAAATGGAGAAATTATTGAAATGTGTATAAGCAATAAAGCAAAAAATAAAGAACATGAAGTCATATTTTGCAATGAAAATTTATCCATTCTTGATATAAATATGTTAAATATTAACATTAATGAAACTAATGAAATTTTAAGAATTATATATTTTACTACAAGCAACTGTTTACATGAATTAAGCTATATAATTAAAAATAATAAAATTTATAATTCTGAAAAAAATGAATCAAACTTTGATGAAAATAAAAATAAAGAAAAAAATTTTATTGGAAATTCAGGACAAGAAACAAAAGTGTATGAAAGCTGTATTGATTCATTGTGTTCTATTTTAAAAATTGAGAATATTAAAAATAAAAATTATTTATTTTGGCTAAATGGATGCTGTATATTTATTAGCAAAATTAATAATCATAAAGAAAAAGTATATTTTAGAGATAATTGTAGAAAATTAAAATATATGAACAATAAAACATTTGATTATACCAATGAAAATGATTACTTCTCTTATTCATCTTCATCAGATGATTCTTATGATGATATTGATATCATATCTTTTAACGAAGAAGATGAAACAAAAGAGAAAAATAAAAAATATATAAACAAAAAAAAAAAATATAGAAATAATTATTTTAGTAAGGATGAAGAATATATGAATAAATTAAATAAGGAATTTTATTTAGACAGTAATTATATTATTGTAAATTTCTTAGATTTAAATATATTTACAAATGATAATATAAACAGCTCAATTTTTACCAAGTCATTTTATAAATCCATGAATTACAAATTTGATAAAATATCAGATAATTCTAATGATTATAATTTTCAGAAAGAAAAAAATAAATTAAATGAAAATACTAATGAATTAATGAATTATGAAAAAAAAGTGTCTACTATAATAGATATGTGTATAAATAATTTCTACATTTTCCTATTATTGGAAGAAAAATTAATTATTATTAATAATGTAAATTTTAAAAAAGTATACGAACAAACGTTATCTATAGAAACATACGGACAAGTTATAAGAATAATGAAAGATAATTTTGATGATCAAGTATGGTTAAGCACATCTAAGTATATATTTAAAATTTTAATAAATAAAAATAATAATAATGATATGATTTATTTACATCTTAAAAAAAGAAATTACAAACAAATATTAGAATCTGGTAATAATAGTGAAAAAGTTAAAATAAAAAAATATCTACTAAAAAATAATAAATATGCCTTAGATCAATATAAATACACACAAACAAATAATGAAGAAATGTTAATATCTTTTTTGCATAAAAAGCAATATTTTCTTTTATCTAATTTTTTATATAATAATATTCATTGTTTTAATAATATTGTTAGAATTGCTTTATTTATATGGTTAATTCAACTTTACGTTTACTCAATTGACTTATATAATTATTTATATTGTGCTACTTCCTATCATTATTCTCCTGATGAGAAAAAAAAAATTATTTCATATAATCAATTAGAAAACTCAGAAGATAAAGTTAAACAGGATGGAAAAGAGTTAAACAATTTTTCAGATGAATCGAAGGAAAGTTTAGATACTTCTAATAAAAGTATACAAGAATCTGATGAATTTCTAGAAGAATCAGATGAATATTTAGAAGAATCAGATGAATTTCTAGATGAATCAAATGAATTTCTAGAAGAATCAAATAAATTTCTAGAAGGATCAAATGAATTTCTAGAAGCAATAGATGAATGTTTAGAAAAGGAATATGAAAATTTTGATCATTTAAGTGATAGCATTCAAAAATCAAGTGAGACTTTACAAGATTCACTAGATGAAAATCATAAAAAATTAAATAAAAATGAAGAAGAACAAAATAATTGTTATATAGAAGCAGAAAAAAAGATAATTAAAAAAGAACCTAACATAAAACATATATCAAATGCGAAAAATATAGAAGAACAATATATGAATCACTTAAGTGATAAAGATGTTTGTTTGAATAATTTTGATAAAAGAAATTATAATAATAGCAATGTTGGTAGTAATAATAATAGTGATAATAATAGAAAATATTGTACAAATATTTCTAGTGATTATAATACTGAAATAAAAAAATTTAAAGAAAATTATAAATATTTAAAAAATAATAAAAATTCTTTCATTTTATTTTTCGAAAAACTAATAAATGAGGAAGAAAAAAAAGAATATAAGAATAATTTTGATTTTTCTAAAGAAAAAAAAATAAATATTAAAACATTAACAGAAAGTGATAATTTTTATATTTTATTAAAAATATATAAAATGAAAAATGTGGAAATTTTTAGTTTTTTAAAAAATCAATGGAATCTTATTATGAGTGAAATAGAAAAATATAAAAAATGTTTCTCAAATAATAATAAATATGCAAATTATGAAAAAGATTACATAAAAATCAAAAAGAAATTATATAAACATATATACACATATAAATGTCTTGAAGTATGTTGTTATATAATAATACTGATAAAACATTTTAAAAATTTTTTTCAATTAAATGAAGTTGTCTTTGATATATTTCAAAGTTTTAACAAAATTAATTTTTTATTGTTATACAAATTTATAAACAATGATTATAATTATATTATAAAATATTATATTAATAACAATAAATATAATTTGTTATTTAATGTAATTATATTATTTCCTCAAAATGTCTTATTAGATGTTTTACGAGAGCATGCCTTTATATTATTTCTTCATAAACCACAAAGATTTGTTGATTTATTAATTTTTTATGATAACTTAATAGATGACTATTCTAATATAATTATATGTATGTTTATAATTATTTTTTTTTTTAAAAATTATAATAAAAATGAAGAAAAAAAGCAAAAAAAAAATAGCAAATGTAATAATATATACTTGAAACACTTTAATGCATGTATAAAATTTTTAGAATATGCATCCGATAAATTGATTGAAGAAAATATATTAGAAAAAAAAGAAAATTATGTTTATACTTTTGAGTGTACATGGAAAAATAATTATATCATAAATTGTTTGCTTATTTTATATATAGAAAAAGATGAAAATGAAAAAATTAAAAATTTTTTAAATAGACTAAAATCAGCATCTACTCATTTTGATTATTTGTTTATTATAAGATTCTTAAAAGAAAAAAATAAAGAAAATTTTATTCCTCATATTTATATTTTAATGAAGTATTATGAAGAAGCAGTTGAAAAGGCATTAGAATTAAATGATTACAAAATTGCGAAAAGTGCTGTTTTATTGTGTGATGATGAGGAAGAAAAAAAAAAATTATTTCTGAAGATAATTAAGCATGTTTCAAAAAATTTAAATGATAAAAATTTAAAAGAAATAATAAATCTTGTAAGAGATTCTAATTCTATATTAAATTTGCATGATATTTTACCTTATATCAATGAAAATACCATAATAGAATATTTAAAAAAAGATATATGTTCTTTATTGGGTACATATAATTTAAAGATAAAAGCAAAAAAAGAAGAGATTAAAGAAAATTTACAAAGAATAGAATTATTAAATAAAGATATTAAAAATGTTAGAAAAAAGCATATTGTTTTAGATAAAAATGATATATGTTTTATATGTAAAAAAACTATATATTACAAAAAATTTTATGTATTTTCATGCAACCATTACTTTCATAGTGTTTGTGCGCTTAATATTTATTTAAATTCTAAATCTAAAGAGGAATTATTTCAATTTTTCTCTATTCTTCATCATTACAAAAATTCTCTTATTAATCAAGAAGACAAAGATACATTAATTTATGAAATGAAAATTGATGATATATTAACTGAAGAATGTTTTATATGTGGTAGTTTTTCTATAAATTCCGTTTTTCAAAATTTTATTTGTCAAAATGAATATGAATTAATTGATAGTTGGAGCATATCAAAAGATTAATATTTAAAAAATTTGTATTTTTTTTTTTTTTTCAAATTTACTTTTAGAAAAAGTAATTTTAACAAATTGTTTAAGGACAAAAAAAAAAAAAAAAAAAAGAAAAAAAATATAAAGGTATGATAAAAATAAAAAAAAATTATAAAAAAATTTATATTCATAATAAAATATAAATAATAACAAATTAAATAAATATTTTAATAAAGAATATCCGTACTTCCCCCTTCCCCTCCCCAGAAAAAAAAGAAGTTAATATTTAAAAGTTTTTTTTATTTTACATTTTATTTATATACTTTTTTTTTTCTGTAAATACATAGGTTTTTAATTTTTTAATTATTGTTATTATTATCATTTAATTATACTTTTTTTTAAAAACAATTTTTATTAACAAATGGCAAAAATTTTGATGAAAAAATAAAAGATGCATAGGATGGGTAAAGTGGATCTTTCTTTAAATTTTCTTCTGTTAAGTTAAATATTTCATTTTTTTCGTGCTTATTTTTATCATATTCGTTAATATTTTCGTTAATATTTTTATTCAAATTATTTGAATTTTTTTTTTTATAATAATCATAAATAGTCATAGGTGGAAAATTAAAAGAAGACGGAATAAAAAAAATAAAAGGGGGATCTAATTTAAATTTTCTGTTCATTAATAATGGTGTTGTACATTTTGTTAGGCATATTTCACATTTTCTTTTTTTATTTTTTTCTTTTAAAATTAATTCAACATATTTATTTTGAACATCATCAAAAGTTCTTTTCATTTTCCATGAAATATATAACCAAGGATCACCAAAATTTACATCATAATAATTTAAATAATATTTTAATTGTTGTTCATCTTCTTTTGTCCATATTTTATTTTCATTTTCTAATGGAGGTGCTTGAAAATTTTTAACAAAATCATCATATGAATCTTCAGGATATAAACCATAATTAAATTTATTTACATACTTCCATATCTTTCTTCTTTGCTGATTACTTAAGCATTCTATATTATATAATTCTTTGGGTGTAATTGTAATAAATTCTTGCCAACTTTTAAAATATTTTTCTATTTCATCAATATTTTCTCCTATATCAATTTTTTCTAGAAATGTTCTAATATCCCAATTTTTTGGTGCTTCTTTTGCACAACTTTTTAAAAGTTCTTTTTTTTCTATTTCGATTTCTTCTGTTTTTTGTCTTCTTAAATGTTGTCTAAATAATTTCAAATCAAAGAATCTCCTTTTCTTTTTTATCAATGGACCTATAAAAGTATAATTCATCCATAATTTTATTATTTTATTTTATTTTATTTTATTTTTTATTTTATTTTATTATTTTATTTTATTTATTTTTTTTTTTGTTTTTTTTGGTCAAAATATCTAATTTTTTATATTAATTATTTTCTATTCTTATATCTCTTTTTTTTATTATACTTCATTTTTTTTTTTTTTATCATATTTCATTTTTTTTTATATAACCTGTATCATCAGAATTCCTACGAAATACTGAAGTGTGAAGTAATCTAATGTTTTTAAAAAATCTAATCAATGATTTATTCATTAAAAAAAAATTTTAAATATAATGAATTTGTATACAAAATTTTACTATAAATATATTTCTTTTATAGTTTTAATAAATACTGTAAATTTTATATACTTTTCTTAATTCCTTGAAATAAAATATTTATATTCTTCATATACTTAAAGAAAAAATTAGTAATATAACTGTTTTAATTTCTATGATTAAAAATTTATTTTTTATATATAATATAATATTATTAATCCATATTAACATATATGCATATACATCTATTTATTTATTTTTTTTTTTTTTTTATGTTTTTCACTATTTATAATATTATAAAAGAATGCTAAGAGAGCGAAATGTTTATACAAGAAATTTTAAAAATATTTAATAAATTAGATCCTATTTAAAAAAATGTTAAATAATTTAATAAAAATGAAAAATACAATTTTAATATATATTTATATCTTTGGGAACCTACAATTTTACTTCTAACAATTATTGTAAATTTTTTTTATTTTTTCTTCCTTATGTTTATCAATTAAATAAATTTCCTAAATTTTATTAATTCTATATAGTTAAATGAAACTTTATATTATGTATTTTTTTTTTTTTTTACAGAGAAAAAAAAAAATGAATTCATTATTAATTTTTTTTTACTTCTTATAACAAGTATCTTTATATTTTTATAAATATATTTTCATTTGCAATTTTCTTTGTAAAACTTTTTCTCTTAGATTTTATTATTATAATTTTATTTAATAAATGAACTTAAATATGAAAATTTATTATATACACCTTATATCATTTACAAAATTACCTTTATGTTATTTTACAACAGTACAATTATATAAACCTTCAAAATTTAAAGATATCAAAAAAAAACTTTACCTGAAGAAAAAATTTTTTAAGATATTTAATAAAAAGCAAGATAGTGACATAAAGAATGATACTTTTTATAACATAATATCAGAATATCAAAAAAACAAAATAAGAATTTATAAAAATAATAAATTTAATATTTGTGAAAATTTTAATAAAAGCCCAAGTTTAGAAAATATACTTTTTAAAAGTACCACTTTTGGTTATTTAGAATTACAATATATTTTATCTACTTTTTTAGATTTTGAAAAAAATAGATTAAAAAAAGAAGACATTTTAACATTAAGTAATTTTTTCAACTTATCCGAAAAAGAAATATATGATTATTTATGTGGAAACGAGTTGATACCTAAAAAATATTCAGAAACAGAAGTTATAAAAAGTCTCTTAAAATTTATAAATGTTAATCATCCTTCTTTGAATTAAAATTATATTTTTTACAATAAAAATATTTTTATAGTTTTATATTATTTTTTAATGTATTCTAAAAAAAAAAAAAAAACTTAAAATATACAAAAATACTAAAGGATAATTATACTTCTTTTTCTTTTTTTCTTTTTTTTTGAACATTAAAAATAATTTTCATTAAAACGCTTTACTAAAATATATTTTTATATGTGATTATTTCGTGTAAAAATATATACACTTTGTTGTGTTTTTATGTATTAATTTTTTTAATATAGAAATATTTTTATAACAATAAAACTATTATTTTTTTATTTTAAAATTTTTTTAATTAGCTTTTTAAAAAAATATAAAATAAACATGTGCTTAAGATTTTTCTTTTTTAAAAAATTTTAAGAATATTGAATATTTTTAAGTGTACAAAAATTGAACATATTTACAAAAAAAAAAAAAAAAAAAAAAAAAAAATATGTATTTATATATATTTTTTTTTTAATTAAAATTATCAAATTATAAAAGAGAGTATTTATATTTTTAATATTTTTTTTTTCTTTTGTGAATAATCTAAATAATAATATAAATTAATTATTAAAAATTATATACATTAAAAAAACAAAATTATAAGGACTTTTTCATAATTTTTTTTTTTTTTTTTTTTTTGAGATATAATTATAGTAAAATGAAAACTTTTAATTATTGTAATTATCGTTATTTAAGTAATTTAGTAAATAAAAATAGATGGTATTATATTTTAAAAAATAATTATTCCTTCTATAATTTAGGTAAAAACTATATAAATGATTCTAAAAAAACCATTAATTACTACAGAAATTTTAGTACACAAGAAGAAAAAAATAATGATGATTACTTTTCATCTATGGGTGATAATATAGAAAAACGATATAGCTTAGCTTTATACAATGTAGGAAAAAAAAATAATAAAATAAATGAAATAACAAATGATTTATTATTTATTAAAAATGGATTACTTAAAGATAAAACATTTCTTAATTTTCTACACACACCAAATATTGAACGTAAAGAAAAATTAGATTTTTTAAAAAATGAATGTAAAAAATTTAATAAATTTAATAGTATAACATTAAATTTTTTAGAATCCTTATTTGATTCTAAAAGAATGAACTTTTTACAAAAAATAATAGAAGAATTTGAATTATTACTAATGCGTGAAAAAAAAGAAATAAAATGTATTGTTTATACAGCTAGAGAAATTGATAATAATTACAAAAAAAAAATACACGATTCAATTGTATTTAAATTAAAAAATGAATTAAAACCATTAATAGAATTTAAAACTGATAAGTTTATTTTGGGTGGACTAATATTACAAATAGGAACTCAAGTTTTTGATTTTTCAGCGAAATCAAAAATTGAAAGAATTAGAAACAGTCTGTCTTAACATTTTTTTAAAAAATCACTGTAAATATTTTATATTTTTAATATTATTTCATAATATGATTTTATCTTTATAATTACTTTTTATTTTATTTTCTATCATTTTTTTTTTTTTTTTTTTTTTTTTTTTTTATGTATTTAAAAATTTTCTTAAATGGTTTTTATTTTTCATTTTTATATAATAGTAAAATACACTTTTTATTATTAATAAAAAAACACCCCAAAAAAAAAAAAAAAAAACATATGTTTCAACCTATATTAATGTTTTGAATTATTTTTTTTAAAGTAAGAAATATTATATTGTAATAAACTTAATTTTTTTTTTTTTTTTTTCTTTACATTAAAATTTTAAAAATTATTCTAAGAATATTTTTCAAATGTTCTTTGTATTTTTATTTGAATTTACAGTTGTATCTTCTTTTAAGATTTTGTGTTTATTCATATGAATATATGAATATTTTAAATATTTTCAAATTAAGTACTTTTCTTCCTAATTTTTTTTTCTTTTTGATAATAAAACTGAAATCTAAAGCATTATATTTGAAAAAATATTACTTCATTTATTTTTTTTTTTTTTTTGTAGTATATTCATTTATTTGTTTATTTTAATATTTTTTAAACGATTTTCACAAAATTGTTCTTTCTTAAATTCTATAAGAATTTTAAATTACAGTTATTGTTTTTAAAGTTTAAATTATTTTTATGAATGTTTACTATTAACAGTTATTAATGAATTCTAACATTGTATTAAATTACAATTAAGTGTGAAAAATTTGAATAAAAAAGTAAAAAAAAGTTTTTTTTTTTTTTTTTTTTTTTTTTCTTTATAGTTAATGAAAAATTTTATAATAATATTTTACTATTTTTCAAAGATAAATATCATAAAATGGAGGAACAAATTAAATCCTATTTGAATGATTTAAACTTTTTAGAATTATGTAATATTATAGATGAGAAAAAATTAGAAATCAATACTGTAGCTAAATGTATTTGCTCTAATAATCTAATAATTATTTCAAAAATATTAGAGAAATGTGAAAATTATAATTTAAAAAAAAATATATTGGAGGAATTAGATAATGAGATTATGAAGAATGATAATATAAAACCATTTATATATATAAAAAATTACGTCTTTCTTTTATATAAAATTATGCTTTTTTTTGATAAAATTAAATTAGAGGAAAATAAAATGCTATACGAGATTTTTATTATATTTTCATTGAAATTAATTATATTTTATAATGAAAAAGAATTCTTACAAAATATTCTTATTAGCTTGATTATTAATTTAGACTATAAAAAGAATACTTATGATAAATTATTTTTAGGAGAACTTCAAAAAAATTTGTATGACTATTATTGTTTTATTTTTTTATCGAATTTTATTTTTTTAAATTCTTTGTTAATATATTTATATTCCAATATAAAATATGATTTAGATGAGAGTTTAAAAAAAGAAATAATGAAACAAATATCCTTAACTTTAAATAATATTAATAATTTTTTTGAAAATTTATTCCAAAAGTATAATCATATAGAAGAGATAAATAATTATCAAAATTCTGAACAATCTTTATTAATGAACTGTTCTAATAATGATTATTCTTTTGATAAAGAATGTTTATATGATACTATTAATAAAAAAAATATTAAATTAATTTATAAAAAATGTAACTTTCCTCTTTTATATAGTTATATACAGTATTCATTCAATACAAATAAATATTCATTAGATAAAGAAGAATATGATAAGAATTACAATTTCAAAAATATAAACATAAATAATTTTCTTTTGTTACTAAAAATTTTATCTCCACATTTTTTATTATGGGTCTCTGAAAAAGAAAAACAAAAAAGAGAAAATAATAATCCACAAAGTATGATGACAAAAAATGAAGAAAAAGACTGTTACTTTTTTAACTATGTTTACATAATTAATGATTTTGAAAATAATTATCTCAGAGAGACAAGCGATTGCTTTCTTTTCTTCTTTTTTTCTTTGTTATCCTTAAATGAAATTAACAAAAATTTGAATGAAGAAATAGATACTTTAATGAATAATGTAATTGATAATTATTATACTTTTTTTGAAAAAAAATATAGTTTTTTAAAGAAAAATTTAATTTCATTTGATGATCTTTTATTAAAGAAGTCAGAAGAAGTTTCACCTCAAAAAGTGAAGGAAACCAGTAAACTGGAAAATGTAGAAATTATAAATGAAAGTAAAAAGACATACAATGAAGATGAAAGTCTATATGAAAAGAAAATAAATTCTAGCAAATTAAAACAAGAAACAAATAAAAGCTTAGAATTCTTATGTAAAGTTACTTCTAATATTTTACTTAAAAACTCAAGTAAAATAGTTATAAAATTAAAAAGTTTAATAATATGGGGATATTTATATTTTGATGATGTAGAAGAATTAAATTTTTTTAATTTAGCAAATGCATTTATTTTTAATAATAATGAGCTTATCTATAATAAAAGTGAAGACATAAATGAATTTTTATTTAGAAAAAATGATTTCTTTATATATAATTATAGAGTTTTCAAAAACAGTTATGAGTGTAAAACGTTAAGTTTTAAGTATATGGATATATTTTCTAATTATATTTCCTTTTTTATTCTTCATATTATTATTATTTTAACTAAAACATACTTAAATTTTAATTTTATACAACCTCAGGATGAAATTGAATACATTAACAAAGGTTGTAATAAAGATGATGAAGCATTACAAATGGTAAATAATCATAAAAACATAAGCTATTTAGATGAAATAATTAATAAAAAATACGAAAATAAAGTTGGAAACAACATACAAAATAACACAGAAAATGGCACAGAAAATAATATGAGAAATGATTTGAAATATAATATAAGAATAGATATAGAAAATAATATAGAAGAAGAAAAAATTAAAATAAGGGAAGATATTATTTCAAATGAAGAAAAAAAAGAGTTAAATAAACTTTGTAATGATATTATGAATTCACATTTTTATTTCAGTGTTTATACGAATAATGAAAAAATAGAATTTTTTTTTAATGAATTACTATTTATTTGTTTTAAATTAATTAATTTCCCTTTTAAAAGTGTTCAAAAAGTTTGTTTATCCTCTGTTTCTTTGATAGTATCTAAGATAAATATACATAATTATTTTAATTATATTAATAATAAAGTGGAAACATTAATTACTTTTATAGATGATAAATTTTATGACCAAAACGAAGTTATTAAAAATTATATTAATATAAAATGTAAAATTACCAAATATATGAATTTAAATTTTGTTAAATCAATAGAAAACTTAATTAATATATGTTTCTTAAAATTATCCAATAGAACATTATGTTCAATAATTGCTAAAAATATTTTGACATGTTTTCATTATCATCCATTTTTTTTTTCTTATATTTTATATAAATATCTAAATATAATTTTTTATCTAATGGAAACTAACAATACTAATATTATAATAAATTCATTAAAATGCCTATTTGTATTATTTAAAATAAATTCAGAAGAAATGAAAATTTATAATAATGATATAATATATAGATTACATTTATTATTTAATATATTTTACGAAAATGAATTAAATTTGTGCAAAAGTAATACTTCTAAGTTTAGTAAAAATTCATTAAATAATTATGGTGATAATTCTAATAATATAACTTCTTTTTTAAAGAATTATTTTTTTAATGTTACACAAATAGAAAAAAGCAAGAAGGAAATGCTACTACATATTAAACTGATATTATATTGTATATATAGCACCTGTTCAAAAAGTGAATATGTTAAATTAATTCATATTTTTTCAAAATATCCTACACAATTTAAAGAATATTCAAAACAGTTTCAAGTTTTTTCAGCTTTTTAGCAAATATTTATTCATTAACTTATTAAAAAAAACAAAAACATACACCTGCTTTACTCAATTATAAATTTCACTCTAAAGAATAATGTACATTTATTTTAGAATATAATTTATTTTTTATGAAAACTTATATTTATGATAAATTTCCTTTTAGTTGATGTTTTTTTTTTTTTTTTATATTTTATAATTTTTTTTTTTTAAGTATATATATTAGAAATTTTTAAATATATTTTATTAACATTGATTTATTATAATTTATATGTTTTTTACTATTTATAATTAATTAAAATAAAATAAATTTCATATTATGAATATGTATATTTTTTTCTATTTGGATGTATAGACATTTTTGTTTTTATTTTTCAGTGCTTGTTAGTGCAAATTAAAATAAGAAAAAAAGGATTTGTTTAAACTTTTTAATAAATACATATATATATATATATATTATGAAAATAATTGTAGCTAATAAAATTAAATATATAAGAATAATCTATTCCAAAACATGTCATAGATATAATAAAATTGAATAAAAAAAATAAACACATATACATTTACATGTATAGAAATACATATACACAGAAAACAATTAGAAATATACATTTATATTAAAATGTTATAAAATAAAACTCAATTTTTTTTTTTTATAAAGATACAAAAAAAGCATATAAAATGATTAATAACCTAAATAGAAATGAAAAAGAATTTAGTAATATTATATTTCATAATTTTCACCTTTAGTCATATTCTAACAGTTAATACAATACAGAGGAGTTTAAAAGGGAATCTTAAAAATGGTAAGAAAATAAGTATAGATATATAGCTAGCATTTTTTATTTCTTATTTTTTATTTCACATATATTATTTTTTTTTTTTTTTTTTTTTTTTTTTTTTAATTTAAAGGAAATAGAAATAATAGAGATTTACATAAAGAGGAGTATTTAATGAATTTTGAAATTATGAAAGATAAAAACAATATATCATATATGCAATTAAATTCATCAACATTTTTTAATATTTTAGCATCTACTAGATTAATGAGAAATTCAGGTGGAGCAATGTCGCAACCACCCATTTATAGATATGTACCAAATCTTCATGATCATAACGAAAATATAGGTGCTAGTTTAGTTTTTTTTATGTTTATGATTTTAATTTTTTTTGTTGTCTTTTTTATTTTTTATTTTATTTTCAAGCATCATGTAAAACATATAAAATTTATGAACAGTTAATAATAATTTATTAATAATACAATTTCATTTTATTTATTTATTTATTTTTTTTTTTTTTTCATTTTTTTAAATTTACATGTTAATAATAAACTATCCATATATCATTTTCTAAAATTTATATATATATGAATAGACAAATATATTCTTTCGTATGTGTATATTTATTTTAGTAATTGAAATGCAAAAAATAAAATAATTTTATCATAATAAAAAATAATCATAACAATAACGTATCTTCAATTTTAGAAAAATAAAGAATAATTAATAGATTAACAGAAAAAAAAAATTATATATAATTAATAATCATAAAATTTAAAAGATTTTTTTTTTTTTTTTTTTTTTTATCTATATGAATATATTTTATGATTGTAATATATACAATTATTTTATAATAGGAATATCATTCTACAATTATACATATAAAAAAGGGTATAATCTTAATTAGAATATGATTAATAATAAAATAAGAGATTTAAATTTAAAATAATAATTATTATGGTTTATTTTTATATAAAATTTTAAAATTTTTATAGTGCTTTTTACAATCATAAGTTATTTTCTTTTTTCCTTAACTTTTAATGCTTTCTTTTTTTCTTACTTTTATTTTTTCTCATATTTAAGTCCCAACTTTTAGTAACAGGATATAATAGATAATAATATAAATTTTTTTTTAAGGATTTTTTAATATGAAAATAACAAAATTTTTAATCACTATTTATTTCACTAAATTATTTATATATTTTTTTTAATCTATAAAAAGCATTTTATTTGTTTTTTATAGACTAAAAAAAAAATGAAAAATTGCATACGGTAAAAACAACATTTAAAATTAACAAAAAGACAAAAACAAATATTTTTAACATAAAAATTGTAAATTTTAATTATAGTTTGTTAAATATTTTTAATAACTATATTAGAATAATGATAAGTAAAAATTTATTTATAATGGTAATTATTTTTTATAATAGAAATATATGAATGCTTATAAAGAGGAGCAATAAGAATAAAAATTATTTCATTTTTATGTATCTTTATTTTATTTTTTTTTTTTCTTTTAATTAGAACATGAAAAGAGAAAATAAATTAATTTTAAATATAAATAATTTTCATATTATATATGTGGGAATATATAAATATACAACTGCAAATATAAGCATTATTTTCTTTTAATATTTTAGGATGTTATTGCAAAATTTCATTGTATGTGTTAAATGTATATATTTATTAGTATTTGAAGATATCTATATATTTTGAATTTTTTTTCTTTAATATTTATCATAAAAAATGTGTTATTTTACTTAATATGAATTATAGTTTATTCAATTTTTGTTACCATTATATTAAATTTAATAATCATCTGTTTTAACAATTATCTTTCTATATTTTTTTTATACATGCATAAAATGATAATTTTTTTTTTTTTTAATATTTTTCATTTCGATATATGCTTCTGAACTTTATTATTATATTTTAGATTTAAAACATAAAATGCTATGTTTTTTCCTAAGTAAACCTATGTTCTGAAAATTTTTTATCACAATTTTTTTTTAAATAATAACTTGAATTGACTATTTTTGATATATAGTGATTATTCTTATAATTTTTTACTTTTTTTATGTTAATTAAAATGAAATTTTTTTTTTTATTTAATTTTCCTTTAGTCTTTTTTTTTTTTTTTTCATCGACTAATTCTACACTATTTTGTAATTTTTCTTTTTCATTTTCCTTTTCTTTCTCTTTAACTTTTTTTTCCTCTTCTTCCTCTTCCTCTTCATCTTCCTTTTTCTCTTCCTCTTCATTTTCCTTTTCCTCTTCCTCTTCCTCTTCATCTTCATCTTCGTTTTTCTCTTCCTCTTCTTCTTCTTCCTCTTCCTTTTTCCTTTGTCCTCTTTCATTTTTAAAATTTTTTTTTTTTTTTTTTTTATTTATATCCTTATTATTCTCTATATTTATATTTTTGTCTTCTTTTCCAATGTCACTTCTAATTTCATCTCTTTTATTTCTCTTATCTTTTTTTTTTCCTTCCGATCCTGTTTGATCGTTCATTGTATATGTTTTCTCTTTTATGTCTACACCATTTTTTTCATTTATATTTTCCTTTATGTAATCACTCATGCTTTTAGGAAATACATTTTTATCATATTTGCTAAATTTACTTGGATTAGATTTATAAAAATATGAGAAGATATGAGATTTATTTCTTTTAATATTTTCCTTTTTATTTTTTCTCTTAACTTCTTTATTTTTATATTGAAGCTGTTTATAGTTTAATATATTTTTTTCATCATAATGTTCTATGAAGTTTTTCTTAAAATTATTATCTCTTGTACTTTTTAATTCGGTATTTTTTTCTTTTTCAAATACAATACTTTTAGATGAATTAATATATTTATAATCATTGAATTTATCTAATTCAAAATTATTTAATTTATTGTGTAACATTTTAAGTACAACTTTCTTTTTATTATTTTTATTTGAATTATTCTTGATTTCTTTTTGTAGATCCTTAAAAATTGAGTCCTTATATTTTTTTAAAGTTTCATTTCTCTTATTTTTTCCAATATCATAAACATAATTAGGCTTTTTTTTTTCTGTTATATCACTCCTTTTTACAAAGTTATGAGAATTCTCATTTTGATCAAACCAAATATTTTTATCTTTTTCCCCATTTTTTATTAGTTCTAATATTTTATTTTTGAAGACCAAATTATTTTTTATGCAATTTTTTTTTTCTGCAAAACTACTTTTATTTTTGGAAAAACAATCTAATTCGCTCAATATACTATTTTTTGGGTCATCATTTTTAACCAAACATGTTAATTTCTGAAATTTTTTATTTTCTAATTTTTCTTTTGAATGTTCATCATTTTTTTTTATATTTATTTTATTTATTTCATTAATTTTTTCCAAATCTTCTATTCCTTTCATAATTATTTCTTTAGAATTATCTTCAATTTTTGACATATTTAATTCCTTCATATCTTCACTACATTTCAATCTAACTGCTATCATTTTGCTAACAAATAAATTTTAAAATATAATTTTTTTATATTTCTTTCCTTATATGTTGTTTCTATACATAGGCGTTTTTAAAAATTTGTAATTTCGTTTTTATTTTTATTTGATTGAGAAAAAGTACATAAGAGAATTATCTTTTTTAAATTTGTTAAGGATAGCAATAAAATTTTCATATTTTAATAATGTTGTAAATGTATTTTTTCAATTATAATAAATGCAAAAGGAAAAGTGCCTAATTCTAAATTAAAATGACTGTATGATTTAATTGATTCTTCATTTAATTTTTTATATTATAATTTTTTTTGTTCTTTTATTTCATAAAATACATAGTCATCTATTTTTTTTTTTTTTTTTTTTTNGTTNGTTTTCTTAAAAAAAAAAAACAGATAAGTATAGTAGATTAAATGATTAAGGGAATTTAAAATTTTAATGTAATTTCTATTTTTGTTACAGTTGTAATATATAAATTTTCATAAATTAAAAATATAAATTTTTGATTTTAAACCAAACAACATTTAATTTATAAAGTTTTCATAATGTAGAAATTATTTTTTCCAACATTACTTAAAAAAAAAAAATAATATATAGATTATATCTTTGCATAAAAAATGTAACTTAAATTTTTTTATAATACTATATTTATATATGTAAGCATTATACATAAGTGAAAAACTTTTCTAAAGGTAGATAATTTCACTTTAGCTTTTTTCTAAAAATAATTCTCTAGAAAAAATTATTTTAATTTTGTTTTTTTAAAGAAAAGACAGGAACAAATAAATTACTTCTTTCATTTTCTTTTATAATTTTTATATATTTACAAAAATAAAAATCAGTAATTGTCAAATATATAAACTAATAAAAGTAATAATGATATTCAGAGAACGTTTTGAAAGTTTCTCTAAAATTATAGAAAATTGAGAGATAAAACTCAGGTTCTTTTGTATTAAAATGATAAATTCTTTTGTTTTAAAAAATGTACATAAGAAAATAAAGTATAAAATATTTATCATAAAGCATTAATTTTAGTTATTTTTTAATTATCTATTATTTTTTTAAAAAATATAATAACTAAAACTTGTTTAAATATTTACTGAAAAGGATTTAATTATGCTTATAAAAAAGGAGTTGTAATAGTGTAAAAAAGTGCACACATATAGTACATATTTCATTAATTGTTTTTCAATTATTCCTTTTTTTTTCTTTAAAAAAATAAGAAATATAAGATAAGAATTAATTTTTTTTTAAGAGTTATAAATTGATAATTATTTTACTTAAAAAAATTTGTATATAAATATATTTGTTAAAGATACATTAAAAAACCTCAGAAATTCAATAAAATGGGGTAGACATTTAAGAAATAATTTTTCAGAATTAGCTTAATTTTTTTTTTCTTTTTTATTTCTGTTTTCATTAAAACAATTTAATATTAATAAAAAAATCATTTCTTATTTTTAAAAATTAAATTTTAAAATTGATAAAGATATTTTGAACAAGTTCTATTGGGAAAGACAAAAAAAAAAAAAAAAAAAAATATTTAAGCTTTCAAATAAAAATATATTTACTTTTTCTTTTCTTTTTTTTTATATATCTTTTTTTTTATGTTTCTTTTTTATTAGTAATTTAGAATATTAAAAAGAAATTCATGTTTCATTTATAAAACATAAAAAAAAAAAAAAGGAATATTTATAAAAAAATTAATAAACATACAAATAGGCAATGTTATTATTAGAAAAAAAACAAAAAAGGTACATAAAAAAAAAAGAAATAAATAAACATCACACTAAAAAAAAGAATAAAATAAATTTTTTATAAAAAATAGAATTAAAAATATTATAAGAATAATAATAACAGATAATAACAAAAAAAAAAAAAAAAAATAAATATAAAATAATTAGAAAAAATAAAAAAAAAGAGGAAACTAATATTTTTCCTTATTTTAATATTACTACATTATAATATAAATAAGCTTATGTTTAATAAAACTTATATAATAAATGTTTATATATATATATATTAATTATAAAAAAACGTATTATAGTAATTCCTTTGATTTCTTTAAAACCTCAACAGCACAAGGCATAATCTTACTTCTAATTATTTTCAAGTATAAGAATAAATTTTTACTCATTTTATTAAGAATTAAAGTGTTATCTGTAATAAAGTTGTTTTTTTTTTTCATTCTGTTTAAGAACTCTACATCTTCTTCAATTTTTTCTGTTAAATGTTTTATTTCTTTTTTAAAATCATCCAGAAATTCTTTATTATTTTCACATAATAATATTAATCCATTTAATTGAGATATGTTACCACATATTGTTGTATAACAACTGGAGATTTTATTAAAAATATTTTCCAGATCTATTGCTTTTTTATCTATAGACAAATTTGGGTGTATAATATATTTTAATTCATTTATATAAATAAAACAGTTTTTACATAATCTTATTTTTATATATTTTAGTTTGGTATCTTTCATTAGATCTATACTTTTTACACAATACATACAAAAAACTTCTTCACATAAATCACAAAAACTTTTTTTTGCATTTAAGTAATAACTTTGTTTAATAACTCCTTTGCAATTAATACAGTAATTTACTTCTTTTTTTTTGAAAGTGCTTGCCTTTAAAAAATTTTTTAAATCAATTGAATTATTATTAATCAAAATTCTCTTAAGCCAATTTTTTCGGGGATCTATTTCTTCCTTTGCAATTTCTCTTTTGTCCATAAAAATTTTCGTTAAATCTCTACTTAATCTGTCATTCATTATTTTTTTAAAAAAAATAAAACATCAACATAAAAATATAAGATATATATATATATTATATATATATATTATATATACATAGGTATATAAATATAATGAATATTTTGAATATGCATCTTTAAAAAAAAATTAAATGTGCTCTTTAATTATGACGCTTATCATTCAAAATAATACTACATATAATTGATGTATTATAAATAATTTAATTTTTAATATTTATAAAAATATATTGCACTTTATTAAACAATAATATATTATAGAAAAACATAATATTTTAAAACAAATGGTCGGTAATATTCTTAATTGAAATTTTATATTCATTTTTCACTTTTCTATTAATTATAAACAAGTTAAATTTATTTATATATATATAAAGTAATTAATATAATGAACTTAAATTTTTTTATAACGTTTTTTTTCTTTTTTCTTTTTTTAATTAGTCCTGATTTAAGGATGCGTGCATTCATAAGATAGAATTTTATAAATTGTTTAAAAAATCTTTTTATAATGATGATATTTTTTTTAATTTTTCTATTTTCATTATTTTTTTCTTTTTTTTTTTTTTTTTTTTTCTTTAAGTTTAGATAAGATATATAAATAGAACGACTTTTGTATCTATTTTTATTTTAAAGAATTAGCTTTTTTTTGTTTACTATTTTTTTTTTATTTTTAATAAATGCTTATTAGTTTTTTTTATTATAAATAAAAATTAATGTTATAGTTTATTTTTTAAATCACAAATATTACTGTACTTTTCGTATAAAATTTTATATAAAAATGTATTTTACATTTTTTTATTATTTTTCCATCTATATTACTACAATTATATTTATGAATAATTAGGAATTTTTTTTTTAAAAATATATGTAATACATTTTTATTATATTTGCTTTTTTTTTTTTAAATTATAAAACATTAGTATACATAATTAATTATATATATATATATATATATATAAAAAGAAAGTTTATTCATTAATACAATATAAAAAAAAAAAAAAAAAAAATGCAAATACGTAAATGTGTGTAAATAACTTTTATTTGAAGATTTTTTATATACTTTTTTTATTAAATATGTATTAATGATTTTTAATATAGACTTTGAAACTAAATTAAAATACAATAAAATGTATGTTAATGTAGTTATATATATATATTTGTATGTTATGCTTAATAGTTTATAAAGAATTTAAATGAATGAAACACTTAAAATTTTATTTAATTTTTTTTTTTTTTATTTATTCAAATTTTCCTCTTTTAATTTTAATATCTTTTTATATATAAATGAGAAAAATTAAAATATCAAAATGAGTGAAGTAAAATAAAGTGCTTAATATAAATATACAATAAAATACAAATTGAAAAAATTTATATATATTAAAAAAAAAATAAATAAATTTATACATATAAACAAATAATATAAGTTGGATATAAGAAAAACGAAGTGAAAAATGTAAAAGTAAATATATAAATCAACATATAAACAAATATTTCAAAAAGAAAATTGATAAATGTATGTATTTGTAAGAATAAATTTTTTGTTTTTTTAATATTGTGTTATATATTAAAAGGGTATTTAAAGGTACAAATAAGAAAGAAAAAAGGTTAGAGGTGAAACAAATTATTAAAATTAATAAAAATAAAATAAATATAGAATAAAGTATATCTTACAGAAAATAATGTTTCTTAAATTTAATAAATTTTAAATTAGAATAATAAAAAAATTATATAATTAAAAAGTTGATGATTTAACAAATGATAATTAATGAAATATAGATATTTAGATGGTTTTTCTTTAATTTATTTTTATTTTTATTATTTTTTATTATATTTATTATTTTATTTTAATTTTTCTTTTTTTTTTCCTATTTAATAAATAGAAGTGTAAAATATATTACTTTCAGTATGAAAAGAACAAAATATAGGAGAAATTCTAGTGATTATAAAAAAATTAAAAAAGATGTATACGTTAGTTCAAGAAAAAAAAAAAATGATAGTGATGAAATGAGTGAGGCAGAGTGTGAAGAAAGAATTAAATATCATGAAAGTTCGAAGCGTAGCAGAATGGAATATTATAATAATGATAAGAATAGTGTAAGTTCTAATTTGGAAGGAAAAAGAAAAGAAAATACCATTTTTTATCATAGTAACAAAGTAAATCATAATATAAATGATATTTATCCTTTAAATCCTATGAATAATGTAAATAAAAATAGTATTAATAGAAATATAAGTAATAATGTTTATATGAATAAAACTAATTATGATAGCAAAAATAATTTGCAAAACGTTAGTCATAATAATATGAATGCTGCTTCAGTGAATAATATAAGAAATACTGATTATAATAATGTAAAAATGTTAAATCACAATTTAAATAATAGAGGATCATCAAATAATAATATTAATTATTATACGAGCTCATTAATGAAAGGAAATTATGATGATGTGAAAAATAAAGAAAAATATATAAAAAGCAAAAATGAAATAGATACATTAAAAATAAATAATTTATTTATTCCAGAAGATAAGTTTTTAGATGAAAAAAATAATGAGTTAATAAATAAATTATATGGAAATGTAAAAATAAAAAAACCCAATAACAGTTTAACTAATATTAGTTTTGATACCATTACAAAAAAAATAAATACAGATATTAAACTACTCGGAAATTTGGACCTAATAAAACTACATGAATCAGAGAATTTGGATAACTCTTTAAAAACTCCTTGTATTAGTTCAATAATAAATGATAAAAAAAAAAATTTTGAAATATATGAATTCTGGAAATTTCCACTTGAAATTTTTGATAAATATATTTTTAAAAATAAAAATCATGATTATGAAAAATGGATATCTAATTGTAAAACTTTATTTATTTTAGGTTTACCATTTCATTTAAATGAATATTATTTGTTACATAGTATCATAGATATATATTATGATAATAAAAATTGTGATAGTATATTAGATATAATAGATTTACATAATGAGGATACTTTAGTTAATAATGTACAATTATATTGTTCTTTTCAGCAAAGTAAAAAAAAATATATATTGTTAGCTGAAAAATTAGGAATTTTAAAATTTGAATTATTATTTGGAAGTGAATTTTATTCAGCTAAAAATGAATTATTGTCTACATATCTTAATTTGAAATATAAAGAGCTTTATAAAATTAATTGTAATAGTGGTGCTATGGGATTATTACATTTTAAAAATGAGAAATTTGCAAGAGAATTTTGGATGACATACTCAAACTATTCATCCTGTTTTTATGAAAAGCATGTCAAAGTAATCCCTGATATTAATGGATTAAAAATATTTTTAGAAGCATCTGTTTTTTATTTAACACCTGAAAGTTTTATTACACAAATAAATTACAATGAACTGAATATTGTTTTAAGTAATATACAAAAAAAAAATATGAGTACTATTAATATAATTAATGAGATGAAAATTTGTTATAAACAAAAAAATATATGGAATCTTATACTTCAAAATGTAAGTATTGAAGAATTTCATAATGTAAACAAAAAACAACAAAATGAAACAAAAAGTGTGGATGATAAAAACATGAACATTAAAGATAATTTAAATAATTTTTCTTTTTTAAGAAATACTGATAACAATTTTTTAATGCATATATATAATACCCATATCAATAGACTTTTAATTTCTAATGGATTATGTTTATTAGCATGCCCTTATTCAGATGAAGAAGGAGGAAATAAAATTGCAGAATTTTTTAAAAAATTTTATTTAATAGACTGGTTCTATTGTGATGAAGATAAAACTTGCTATTTTTATATTTTTAAAACAGTGTTAAATGTTTTTTGTATATTCAAAAGGAATTTTAAAACTTGTTCTGATTATATTGTTTCTTCTATTTTTTTAAAACTTCCATTTGGTATTGTTCCCGCTATATATATCAATTCGTCAACAAATTTAAAAGATAAAAATCCACAAGAGAAAAATAATTTTAGATGTTATGAAAGTGAATCACTTACAAGTAATGTAAATAAAAAATTTACAACATTTAATTTAAGCAATAGTAATATTATGAATAATGTTGGTAATAATTTAAAACAACTAAAAAGTACATCTGATATTAATTCTTTAATTTCAAGAAAAAGAATAAATAGTGTAAGTACAATAGAAAATACTAATTTAGATAATAAAAATGTCCAATGTAATAATTCTAAAAATAAAAATGTTAGAATGAATAATTTAAATATACATAGTGTCAAAAATAATGAGAATATTGATATGATTATGTCTAAAAAAAAAAACGAAAATGAAAACGTTAATATAACTTATTGTAAGAACTTAAGTAAAGACAAAATAATTTTAAATAATTCTTACAAAAAATTAAATAGTGATAGTAATAATAACAATATTGAAAATAATAATAATTGCAATAATGGTGATAGAAACAATAATAACAATAATGAAAACATTAATATTTTTGAGAAAAATGAAAAAGTAAAAAATGTTATAAGTAGTGTTGGAATGTATAATAATTCATATAATATTGGTTCTATATCTAATAATATTAAAAGCAAAAATAATAATGAAATCCAGAAAAATCATGAGTCAAATGTAAATAACTCCAAAAATAATTTAAATTTAAAAAAAAATAATAGTAAAGGAGAAAATGATCCTTGTAAAAAAATTGGTGAAAATATCAATGATAAGATACTAGTTGACAATATAGATAATGAAAATAATAATGACATTATTGAAAAAAGTATAAAAAAACAAAACCTAATAAATCCTGAAAATTTAACAAAGAAAAATGAAGACGTGAAAAATAAAAAAAATATAAAAAAAAAACAAAAAATTGCAAATACTAAAAAAAGTAAAAAAGATATGCAAATAAATAATAACGAAGACACTGATTTTAAAATAAATGAAAAAGAAGAAATATGTATAAATAAGATGGGAAATGAAACAAAAATTGAAAAAAACTCTATTAATGAGAATAATAATAATAATAATAATAATAATAATAATAATAATAATAATAATAATAATAATAATAATAATAATAATAGCACTGAAAATATTCTAAAAAAAGAAGTTAAAAATAAAAAGAATAAAGAAGAAAATACAAAAAGTAATAATAAAATAACAACTAAAAAAAGAACTCCAAGAAACATAAATTCACATATAATAAAAAGTGATATAGCTAGTGCATTACAGAAAAAAAAAGTACAAGCATTAAATAACTCCAAAAATAATTTAACTGTACCATTGAGTAATTCTGATGAAAAAAATAATTCAGTTAATAATAAAAACAAAATTCAAAGAAAGAAATAATTTATATATTTTAAATGAAAAAAATAATGGAAGAAATACAAAATATAAATTGTACATATTTTCCATATTATATATATAAATGAAAAAAAAAAAAAAAAAAAAAGATTGATAAATAAGGAAAAGGGCTTTAAAAAATTTATTATTTATTCTATCATATCACTAATATATAAAATAAAAAAAAAAAAAAAAAAAAAAAAAAAAAATCAATTATTAAAAGAAATTTTTTTTATATGGACTATACGCATTAAATTTTGAGTGTTATTTTGAAGAAAACATAAATATATATATGTATATATATAATCCTATATAAATAAATATTGTCAATAAATTAATATCTATGTGTAATATATATAGGAAATATTTAATTCATTAATATATATTTATATTTGTAATTCTATTTTTTAATTTTGTGTGTATTTCATATATGTAAAAAATAAAACAAATAAATAAAAAAGGAAAAGAAAATTTTTTTACTTACATTTTATCAACTTACAGATAATTGCTTAAATTTATATAAATTTATACATATTTTTTTTCTTTTTTATAATTTATTTGATGTTGTAATTATTATATATTTTTCTTTTTCCTTTTATATATTTATTCAATTACTATAACGAAAAAAATTTCAATATTATATTTCATTTATATTTTTATAATTTGTTAATGAATCTACACATAAGAATTTATTCTTTTATAATTTTTAAGAAAGTATAATTAAAAATTGTTAATGTTTTTAGAATGTTCTTAATAATAAAGGATAAAAATTGAAGCAAATGTTACATTTTATGAGAAAAGTTTGAAATTTTTTACATTTTTTTTTTTTTTTTTTTTTGTTGTGTAAAAATATCCTTTTAATATTATATATATATATTTTTTTAAATTGAAAATTATATTACATTTTTTTTTATTTTTTTGTTCTTAATTTTGTAATTAGAATATACGAATATTTACTCATAATAATCTTTTTATATTTTTTAAAGTTGTCTTTTTTTATTGGTTATATTTTTTAAAAAGGTATATATGTAATTATTATGTAAAAATTATATTTATTAAATATATAAATTAATATTATTTTTTAAGAATTTTTTTTATTTTAAATATAATGATGTTCTATCTGTATTTATATAAATTTTTTCTATTCATAAAATTTTAAAAACAACAGTTACATTTTTATTTAAGTCAAAATTTATAATTATTATTATTATTTTATTAGAAATATTTTCATTTTTTACATTTAACTATTATAAAATATGTTTTTTTTTTTTTTTTTTTTTTTTTTTTTTATTATAATCATATTTATTCCAGTAATTACAAAAAAGATATTTTAAATAAAAAGACAAATATATTTAAGTGTAATTATATAAATATTTTTATTCTTAAATAAGTAAAAATAAAATTTTAATTTTATCATTTCATTTATCAATTATTTTACTAAATAATAGTCTTTTTTATTATTAGAGTATTTATGATTATATAAAAAAAAAAAGAATAAAATAAAAATAAGTTTTAAACATACTAATAATGATATATATAATTTTTTAATTACACAAAATTTTAGTTTTTTATTTTTTGTTACTATTCATATTTTTTTTAAAAAAAAAAATGTTACATATTTATTTTTTTAGTAATAATTTCTTATTAATATTTTTAAAAGATTAATTTTTTTTAATAATAGTATGATTGATTTAATTTTTTATTTTAAAATGATAAAATAAAGCAAAAAAGTTTTAGGATATTTTTATTTATGTAAATACAAAATACTACTGCTATTTAGATTTTTTCATATAAAAAGGTGGAAACCTTCATTTTTATTAACCAACTGTAATTTTTATTGTATTATATATTTCTTAATATATAATTTTTTATAATTAATATTTTTTTTATCATCTATTTGTCATTATAAATTAATATACAAAAAAAAAAAAAAAAAAAAAAAAAAAAAAGGAAAACTCATAAACCGAGGTTTTTAAAACAAAATTACAAGTTATATATAAAAAAATTTGAAATGCTTTTTTTATAGAAATAACTAAATATTTTTGTATGTTTAGATATAAAAAATATTTAGAATTATTTAAAAGTATTATATTTGTTAAAATTTCTTTTGATATTCATTTTATTTTCTTTTGAAATCTAAAATATATTTTATTTTTTTAAAATTAATAAAATATTCACATATATGTATACATATGTCTACACGGTGTTTTTAATTTGTAAAAAGGAAAATATTAATCTCATTCCTTCTTAAAAAATTAACTGTAATTTGTTTCTTTATTTTGTGATGAAGTTATTCTATTTAATTATTGTATTATAAGGTAATTTTTTTAAATTTGTGTATTAAAAAAAAAATAGTTGATTATTTAACAGATTCTAAAAAGTCTGATTTGTATGTAACTTGACTGTAATTTTCTTCATTTGCTGATTCTGATATTTTTTGCATCTGGGGTAGTAAACAAAGTAAAATTAAAAAAAAAAGGAAAGTTAAGAAAAGGGGACTTTTTAATAATTTAAATATAGAAAAATTTTTTTTTGGTATAAGGAACTCATAAAAATTTTTTACTTCAAATATAATGTTAGATGACATTAAATTATTTTTTTCAAATGGTAATAACAATTCATATGCTTGTACTATATACATTTTGTAATTATTTTTTGTCATTTTTTGTTTTACTTCAACATGAAATCTATTAAATTCTAAATAAGGATGACTAACAAACAAATTATATACTCCTTCATTTACATTAGTAAATACAAATTTCCCATTATTTTTTGGTTTTGTATAATTTTCTGAGTCTAAATAAACAGTACAATTTAATAAAATATCACTATTTGCTTTAATTATTCCTTCAATATAATTATTCTTTAAATCAATATATTCTTCTTTACATTTTGATAATTTTAAATTTAAACAAATAAAAGTTATAACAAAAATAGTCATCAAAAATTTTAAATTTTCATTTATTATTTTATACATTTTTAAATTTTTTTACAATTACAATTGTTACTAAAAAAATAAAAAATAAAATAAAATAATAATAAAATAAAATTAAATAAAAAATAGAATTAAAAAAAAAAAAAAAAAAAAAATAAATTTTTTAAAACTTTATATTTTTAAATGCATACGATCTTGAAGTTAATATATTGTTCTTTATTCCTATTCATAATTCTAATTTTTCTATTTATAGATGACACCAATTTTTATTTATTGTCAAAAATGTTTCATTAATTGTTTAATATTTTTTGGAAAATAAATCGACTTTTTTCATTATTTTAGAAATGTATCTATATTTCTTTCTTAATTTTTTTTTTAAAAGAAAAACATAAATTTTTTACTTTTTTATTTTTATAATTCCTTGTTTATCATACAGAAAAAATTAACGTGACACATTTTGTCATATATCATTATATATATATTTATTCATTAAAATATTTTTAATAAAATTAAGATCCATATTTTTTTTTAGAATAATTGAATATATTTATAAAAAAAAAAAAAAAAAAAACTTTCGTTATGTATTTTCAAGTATCTTATTTTGATATATATTTTTATTGAAATTAACCTATATATTTATTTAAAAATTTGTTTTTATTTGTTCAAACTTTAAATAAAGAAAAATAACAAAATAAGAAAAATTTTTTAAATTTTAAGAAATCATGTTGTAATATTAAAGGTGTTCTTTTTTCTATATTATTTAAATATATTTTATTATATTAAAAGATTTCATAAAAAAAAAAAATTTTTAATATTTAAAAAACATTATTGAATTAATATAAGGTTAGTCTTAATAAAAATAAAAGGAAATGTTAAAAAAAAATATGTATAAGTAAATTCAAAGTGAAAAAAGGAAACATGAAAACAATGAAAAAATAATACATTACATTTTATCAGTTATTGTAAAACAGCACTTCTTTAAATGCAATATAAATACGGCTCGCTAAAAAAAAAAAAAAAGAAAGAAATAAAATATTGATGGATATCATTATATGTAATAATTTTATAAAGTAGAGAAAAACAAAAATGTAAATATACCAATCTTTTCAAATAAAGAATTAATATTTTCTCCTGTCTAATAAGAAAAATAAAAAACAAGATATCATTTTTTTTTATCTAATTTTTCATACATGTACATTATATATATTTTTTTAATTTATACCTTTGCAGAACATTCAATGAAAGATACATTTTCTTCCTCACAAAATTTCATAACCATCTATGTGTAAAAACCATATTTAGAAATATATATTATTTATTTTTATTAAAATGAAAAAATATAAAAACTCTTTTAGTTTTATTTTTTTTTATTTTTAGTTTTTATTATTACCTCTGAATTAATTTTTTTTGGCAAATCCTTTTTATTTGCAGCAACCACAATACAACAATTGCGTGCTCCTTTTGATTTTATTTCATTTATCCAATATTTTAAAGAGTCAAATGATTCAACATTGCTATAATGTGTTATGTTTGAAAAAAAAAAAAAAAAAAAAAAAGACATGAAATAAATAAATAAATAAATAAATCAATTAAAATTACTTTGAATCATAAACAACTATTGCTCCATATGCATCACGATAATATAAAGGAGCCATTGATCGAAATCTTTCTTGGCCTCCTGTGTCCCAAATATGTAGCTTCATATTTGCACCTAAATAAGAATAATATATTGCAATATTTATTAAAATATTGAAAAATTTATTATTTATTAAATTACGAAATAATTTATTATTGTACTTTATTGATTTTTTTTACTATATTTATAACATATTTTTATTTACCATTTTTTAATTCAACTGTATGATGTAAAAAAGCTGCGCCAATTGTTACTTGATGCTTTTCAGAAAAACGACCATGGCACAGATACAAAGCAATACTAGACTTACCAACCCCGCTATCCCCCAATAAAACTATTTTTACTTTTGTATCTTTTACGCACTTGTTTTTTTCTTCTAAAGGTTTTGTTAAAATATTTATATTTTTTTGTGAATTATATCTCTGAGAACTTGATGAGCATCCCATACTCTATTATATTTTTTTATATTTCTTCAATGAATTCTTTTAATTTTATCTATTTTTCTTTTTTTTTTTTTTAATTTTGCATAGGATGATAATGTTTTAAAGATTTTATAAAAATTTACTTTATTAATGTTTTCTTTAATCCTTTTTTCTTATCATAATTTAGTTATTTCCTTATACAAATAATTTGTTCTATATAATTTTATTTTTTACCTAATATTATCCTTTATATTATTATTATAATTATACATATTATATATTTTTTTTCATCTTAACAATTCTTTACTTTAAATTTTTAATTATTTTATTTTATTTTTTTTTTTTTTTCTTTTTTTTTTATATTATTGAAAAACTAGAAAAATATTTTTAATTTATATTTGCTAAAAAAAAAAAAAGCAAAATTATTATGTTTGATAATTGTGGTATATTTAGTTTTATTTTATCAAAACTTTTTAAGAGAAATATTTTGCTCTTTAAATTTTGCATATAATGTCTTCTTTGATGCTCCAAAATTAAGGCAATTTTTTTAATAAATTACTTTTATTTACATATTTATATTGTTTTAATTTTTGTAGAATAAAAAATGTGTGCAAAATAAAACAGCGTATTTAGAGTTGTATAATTTTCAAATTATACTGAAGTTTTATAAATACAATTTTACTGAATTATATTTATTATAAAAAAAAAAATAAAGATATGGCAAAATATAAGGAACATAAAGGAATTAGGAATCTAACGTATTTAAATTAATAATATTCATCATAAACTTTATAATATATATAAGACTTCGATATAAAGCAAAACATAAATAGGATAAAAAAAAAAAAAAGGTTTAAAAATACTTTTCTTAAATATTCTTTAAGGTATAGATTGATATAACAAAATAGTTTCAATTTATAACGGAATTTCATTGAACATAAATACTTTTAGAATACATTAAGTTTTTCTTTAAAAAATAAAAAACAATTAATTTTACAAAAAAGGAAAATTAAACATATACTATAAAGTCCTTGATTTACTAAAAGTGTTAAAAGGAATTTATATTTTATATATTAGTAGAGTAACAGAATTGTATTTATGTATTGATATAACTTTTTCCTATAATATTATCAATATTTTTTAATATGAAGAATAAATTTCCATTTAATAATATTATAAATATAAAATTTAAAAATAATTTATAGAGCTCTAAAAAAATCAAGTTTATCTCTGAGCTAATTAAAAGTATAAGAAAATTTATAAATCAAAAGGTAATAAATAATAAAAAAAAATAAAAAGCAGAAAAATAAAAAAAAAAAAAAAAAAAA